ACCTGGGTCCCTGTGGCTGACTGTACCTCTGTCTGGCTTCCTGGCTTTTAATCCCCTTTCTCCTGCTCTTCTGGCCTGCTGCTTTGGGCATCTCTGAGTTGTCCCTGGGACTGACTTTGGGACTGGTAAAATGATTGGGAAGGGCAAGTTAATTCTTCAAGTGTGAAAGGGACAATGGCTAGAAAAGCCAGGGGGTGGCCAGCAATGCAGTGAATTGCTTAATATGGCCCTTCTAGCCATCATCCTTCATTTTGTAAATGTACTGTAAATCCTAGTCTTTATGCCTGTTTAGGGTGGGATGTATCTTGAGTTCTGCTTTGCCAGAGGGTGTGACTCAAGTCACCACCCTTAGCTTCTTCAAGAATATGTATGGGAACATTCTGGAAAGTTTGCTCTCTCTTGCTCCAGTTCTGCATTTGGTTCATCATTATCTCACCCCTGGACTTGAAACAGCAGCCATCTGATCCTCTGCCTTGTCTCATGTTGAATATGACCTACTATGGACCTGGGACTTGTCAGCCTGTCAGCCTCACAGCCTCACAGCCTCCACCACTACCACATGAGCTGTTTCCCTAGGAGTTTGTGAGCTCTGTAAGACGTTACAGCAAAATATGGAATCCTAAGATTAGAATCAGATTACTGAGGGAGGAGGAGGTGATGTCAGAGATGATGGAATGGCACAGCAGTTTGGAAAAGTTGGGCATTTGGGACATCTTTAACTTCTGCCTCACAGGGACTGGCCTTGTGCTGATCTTTCTAAAATAAATTATTCAAGGAGGCTGGCATCCTGAGGGGATAGTTGGAACTTCTGAATTTATAGCCAGCAAGTCAGAAGTGAGTATGTCATGAGGACCCCAAACTTACAGCTGGAATTTAAACTCTTGTGCAGACTTGACAGTCTAAGGGATTGTGCCCTTTAAGACTTGAGGACTGACCTAGTTTTAGGTTGTTAGGGTGAAAGGAAGAAGTCCTGCACCTGCAGTTAGGAACAGAATTGAATAGATTTAAATCAGAATTCCATTTCTTCATTTAGTTATTGTGAGAAGTAGAACAGATTTTATTTCCTCACACTGACCATTATAACAAAAAGCTTCTCATCCCATGTCGTTCTCTACCCTCTTCTTTGCTTAATTTTCTTCATAGCACTTTCTTACTACTTGACATTATATTTTCTATTTATTTACAGTCACTATGCTTCCCTTACTAAAGTGTAAACACCACAGTAACAGACTTTAGTGGTTTTCTTCACCACTGTATTGATAGTGCCTAGAAGAGTTCCTGGCTCAGAGTGGGCACTGAGGAAGTATTTGCTGAATAAATGGAAGAATGTACTTTTAGATAATGGAGACATGCATATAAACATAAACGCCAAAGAAGAAAGCAACTAAATCAATAAAGTTGAATGGTTGTCTGTAGGGAACAAAGAGCAAACTCCAAAACCACCTCCTTCAAAGAGAGGTAAAATAGGAGAGAACAAAACAAAAGAGTGGTAAATGGGATTTAGAAGTTGTGTTAGTATCCCTAGCTAAGAAGACCTTCATTTAATTTGCTACAGGTCTCAGACCATTCTCCTTGTGACATGGACCTTTAAATGGAGCTTTCTAAATAATGTTACAAAGGTGTATCTCTTCCCCAATCACTTGGGCTATTTCCTGTGATAATGGTTTCCCATTGCCCTATTAGCCTTCACTTACCTGAGTATCGTCTTCTTCCTTTTCTCACAACCTTCCAGGGCTCTTTTCCTTGCTCCAGTAAGGAAATCACATCTGGTTTAGAAATGACACATCCAGCTCCCAAGAAAAGAAATAAAAGGTGAAGTAGAAAAAAAATAATGTCAAAATTACTTTGATTCAGTTTGGGTTAAATTTGTAATAAACTACAGGCTAAAATAGTAATTGAAAAAGCCTTTAGAATAATGAAGGGCAGGATGGGTAAAAAATATTCACACTAAGGTCAAACAACAAATAGATCTGAAATGGAGGGAAAGAGATCTTACTTTAATTCATATTCATACAAGCATCCTTCCTGAGAAGCAATAGTGTTGTGGTTGAGAACAAATTGCTTGGGTTCAAATCTTGCATCTGCCACATCTTAGTTGTATGACCTTGGGCAAATTACTTCTATATTTTATTTAGGAAAATAGGAAAATAATAGTTTTATATATTTTTGTTGTGAAGATTACATGGATATTGAATATATATCTATATCTCTGAACAATACTGTTGTGGTTACCTAGTGCCACTCAGACAAGAATATACCACAAATGGGATGGCCTTAACAAACAGGAGTTTCTTCTCTTACAGTTTGGGAGGCTAGAAGTCTGAGTTCTAAGTGCCAGGCTCTAGGGGCTAAGTGAAAGCCCTCAACCTTGGGGTCCAGCTCTGCCTCCTGCTTCCAGCCCACTGGAGCTAGAGGCATTTCTTCACTCAGACAGCTGCTGGCTGCTGAGGCTGAGAAGCCCAAGGTTGACAAGTAAAATGGCACAGTCCCAG